TTGTTAACCTAATCTTACGTAGCTTTTTCTCTGGTAATATTACACTAATAACTAGAGCATACAAAACATTTGCTAGACCAATACTCGAATACAGCTCATCAGTCTGGAACCCGCATTATATTAACACAGTTGAGGAAGTCCAGAAATATTTCACAAGAAGAGTTCTCCACTCCTCTACTCATTGCAGAATACCTTATGCCACAAGACTTGAAATTCTAGACCTAGAAAAGCTAGAACTACACTACCTTTGGTCCGATCTAAGTATAGTATATAAAATCATACATTGCAATGTCCTACCTGTCAATAAATACTTTGGCTTCAACCATATCAATACAAGAGCAAACAATAGATACAACTCAAGGTTAATCGCACCAAACTTGATTGCAGGAAATACGACTTCAGCAACAGAGTTCAATGCCTGGAATACTCTACCTGACTCTGTGATTTCTTCCCCAAATCCCAAAAACTTTAACCTTAGACTGTTTACTATTGACCTCACCCCTTTCCTAAGAGGTCTGTAGGGGGCATGCATAAGCACACCAATGTGCCTACCATCCCTGTCCTATTGTTTCTTTTTTATATATGTATCCATGTATTCATAACTATGTTTTTACTTATACAAATAAAAGTAAAATAAATATATAGTGCTTCATAGTGCTTTACAGATCTCTCTAAGCAGTTTACTGAGTCAGCCTATTCCCCCAATAATCTGGGTCCTCATTTTATGAACCTCAGAAGGATGGAAGGTCTGACTTTGGACCTATTTTATCAATGGCTAGCTGAAAAAAAACAGGAGCTAAATACAGGGAAAGGGATTGATAGGATCAGTGATATAAGAAAGGCATGTTGAATTGGTTAAGTAAATATTGTTATTATTATTATTATTATTATTATTATTATTATTATTGATTTTTCTGCCTTCTGCACAGAGGTAGATTTGAAGCTGTACAGATGCAGATAGATAACTCAACAAGACATCCATCAGGTATCCTCATAACTCATGTTTGTGATGAAGTTCTTCTTTAATGACCAATCCTTTGAATATCTGCCTTGAAGTAAAAGATGGTTATCTTCTAACTCATCTTGTAGCGATAGAAAGAAGCTGCCATGAGTTAGAGATTTCAGGCAAAAGTGAGGAAAACCTCCCCCAACCCACCAAGGGTCAATTCAGTGACCAATCAGGATTGCAGATGTGATCACATGACATGGACTATATTTCCCAGGATACCCTTAACTACATTTACCAAGATGCATTCCCTTAGGGGGACAGCTCATAATTCCTAAGTAACTATCCAATTCCCATCGACTGACTGGGACAGCACATTGATACTACTATAATTAACATCAATGTAATGAATATTGTTGTAAACATCTTGATTATTATATCCTAAAAATATTGTACCCAGACAGCACTATTCGATTGAAATTGGATTTTTATATGCTATAAAAATACAAATTTGGAATAAAAAAAAAAGAAGGATGGAAGGAAGTCAGTCAGAATTGAACTTTTCAACTGCTGGCAGTCCTCAGTCAGCAGAATTAGCCTGCAGTATTGCATTCTAACCACTGTACCACTACGGCTCTTAAAAGGCCTGATGAACTTTGGAAATTACAATGAAGCCATATCTGATGCATATATTGAAATTATGAAAATAGTTTGTCAAAAATGGTGTCCAAAAAAGAGAGCAAGAACCCGAGAATTGCTAATATAAGAGTAAGTTCATCCTCAGCTATAGAAGCTTATGGTTGACTGTGTCCATCATTTCCACCCAGTCAAATCTACCAGTTGCTTAGGGTAATATTTTTGTTCTCTCGAGTGCATGAAGAAGAGGCAGGCTGTGTCTCTAGCCAAGCAATAAGGCAATGTTCCAATTAATACTATTTGGCTATCATAATGATCAGAGCTTCCTTTACAATTGTAAATGGAAGCCCATGCGAGGAAAGAGCTTGGGAAAACATATGTGTCTGCATGTTCTTTAAGAAAATATATCATTCTCAGGTGATTCGTGACATTCCAACAAAATGTACATTGTTATTTTAGCTGTCCTATGGGTCATTTGCTCCCAGGAAACTAGGAGCAAAGATGGCTGCTTCCTTTTACAGCATGGCTCCCAATGAAACCCTTCAGATTGTAGGGATTGCTTATTTGCTGAAGCATTTTGGATGGATGTGGATTGGCCTTTTTATTCTGGATGATGATAGTGGAGACAAATTCTTCAGAGCCCTGGATCCACTTCTTTTGGAGAACAGGATCTGCTCTGCCTTTGTGGAGAGATTGCCTAAACAAGCATTCTTTTCTATGCTTCAGAGCGATTTAAATCAGATGATAAATATTTATTTGAATCACCCCATAGCCAATACATTCATCTTTTATGGGGAAAGCACCACAGCAATGCTTCTGTTTATATTCATGAAATTTCTAGTGATAACCTGTGGGAAAATGTAGATTCTGACAGCTCAGATGGATTTAATATTAACAAATCTTCACCAGCCCTCTGATTTGCAAATGTTTGATGGAGCAATTTCCTTTGCTATTCATTCCAAGGAATTGCCAGGGTTCAATGAATTCCTTGGGGAAATAAAACCATTTCAGACCCAATGAGCTAGTTTGCTGAACGACTTCTGGGAACAAGGCTTTGATTGTGGCTTTTCAGATAGCAGTAAGCCAGTGGAAAGTGATGATAAATGTATTGGGAAGGAAGATCTAAGAAATCTTCCCAGGCATTTATTTGAGATGACTGGCCACAGTTATGGTATCTACAATGCAGTCTATGCTGTAGCTTATGCTGTTGATGACATGAACTTACTTAGCTCTAAATACAAAAAAGTAGCAGAGAAAACAAAGGATGAACGTCAAGATCAAGGCATCTGGAAGGTAAAAACCTGTGAATCAAACAGGTTCATTGCCAGGAGCAAATTAGTACCATGTAAATGCACAGTGAGTTTTTTCTAATTTCTCAAATTAGTGATGTGGTACTAGTGTACATAAGTCCTGTGAAAGGTGACTTACTGAATTCTTCAAATATGTTGACTTTAGATTCTCTTCATTCAACCAATGCTGTGATGATTCACTAGCAAAAATCAATTCTCATTGTCCTGACTCATGGGTTGGTACTGCAGAAGTTTCTTCTCAACCTTCCCCAGCAAAACTGATGGAAGGTCTTCAGTATTGCAAGGCATTGATACAAATAGGAAAGTTCCTATCTGTTGATGACATCAGGGATGGAATTCAACTGGTATGGACTGGTTTGAGTGAACTGGTTGCTCCAGTGATTAGTTCACCCCACCCACCTCTGCCCTAGTCTGTCCTATATTTCACTGTTTTACAGCCCAGCTGATTCACATGGCACAGCGGATTGCCACGCATCAGCTGTTTTACTCACCAGGACTGTAGCAGAAGTAAGCTTTAAAGCTGAAAATGGGTTGTTTTCAAACCCTGTGCATGCTCACCAAGCCAGTTGTTACACCAGTTGAATCCGAGCACTGGAAGACACCCAACTTGGAATAGCTTCAGTATGTCCCTTGTGGTCACCAATCTGAAGGAAGTTTATTCTCCATGACACTTGATTGAACCACATAAATAGCAATTTCAATAGCACTTAGACTAATACACCACTTCACAGTGCTTTTACAGACTTCTCTAAGCAGTTTACAGAATCAGAATATTGCATCCAATAATCTGGGAATGCTGTCTGGGAATGTTATCAATCAACTGAGTAATTTCTTCTTCTGTAAAACCCAATTTCTTCTCCCACTTTAAACCTAAAGGAAATTAACTTTTCCACTGCCAAAACATATGTATTTTAGAACAGATTTTTGATTTATTGGGTTTTTTAAATCACATTTATATATAAAGTTTTCAAATAGATTGGATTTTGATTGTATCTATTGTAGTTCCGCTGGTCATGCTAAGCCATAATGTTGCTAATTCTGCTTATTTTGCTTTTGAATCTAGTTTTAAGGAATACAGGTGTTCAAAACAGTCCACAATGAAATCAATATTATAATATTTCTGTCTTTCTTGTGGAAGCCCATAATTGTGACTTGTTCAACCTGCCATGACTTAATGATGGTTCTAATTGAAATTGACTGCAAGAAATCAGTGGGACTTAAGTAATGCAACTTGCACTTCCATAGAGATAAATGTTAGGATGTTTGATGTTATCCACTGTATTGTTTCAACTGATTTGTTCCCTCTCACTTTTATTTAGCTTCACTGGTTCCTTCAGGCCTTTCATTTAATAATTCCCTTGGAGAAACTGTGTTCATCAATCATCATGGAGAAGTGCTTTCTGGATTTGATATTACAAATGTGATCATGTTTCCAAACAATTCATACCATAAAGTGAAAATTGGAAAGATGGATCCCAAAGCACTTGATGGAGATGAATTTGCAATTCATGAAGATTTAATTTTGTGGCCCAAATATTTTAAGGGGGTGTGGATTTTGAGGTATTTTATTATTTTGGATGAAAGATTTAGAAACTGAACAAGGAGAGATTTAACCTGGAAATAAGGAGAAACTTTCTGACAGTGAGAACAATCAACCAATGGAACAGCTTGCCTTTGGAAGCTGTGGGAGCGCCATCACTTGAGACTTAAAGAAGAGATTGGACTGCCATTTGTCAGAAATGGTGTAGGTTCTCCCACTTGGGCAGGGGGTTGGACTAGATGACCTACAAGGTCCCTTCCAACTCTGATTATCTGTTAACTACTCCATCTATGGCTGTTGTTTTTTCCAGCTATGTGGGACAAATTTACAGTAGTTTTTTTTTTTTCATGAGGGAGATGGGAAATTTTGCTATCAATGAAATAAAACTCAGGAATAACTGAAAACCCAAAACTTTATCAACAAAAAGAGGATAAGGAAAATTAAAAACTTTAATTCCTTGACCTGGTTTTCAAAAGCACACTTATAGTGCTGATTTTTGTTGTTGTTGTTAAATCCACCAATCCTGGTTTACATCCTGGTTTATCAACAGGTCTTGCCCTGTTCTGTGTGTCATAATCCCTGTCCTGCTGGCTATCAAAAGAAAAAGAAGGAAGGGCAGAAATTTTGCTGCTATGATTGTGATCCATGTTCTGATGGGAAAATGTCAAACATGTCAGGTAAATTTTTCTCTGGTTTACTATATGCTTCTGTACTCCACTCTATTTTCTGTTGGTAGATGACCTTTTTCCACGGTGAAATTGAGCAGTGACTCCATTGTTTTTATTTGTACATGTTGTCTTCTTTCTTTGATATGAAGACCAATTCTGATACTGGAAGATTTCACAAGGTGGTATATACAAAATTGGGTGATGCCACAATGCATAGGTTTCAAAGAATTACTGCAATGAGGAAAAAGAATCTTAGATATTCTGGCTCATGTCAGCTTTGTCCTCTAGGGGATCTACACTTTACCTGGTTTATAGAATAGCTGAATAAAATGAAATGATAGAGGAGACTGTTGTGGCCTGCCACCGGCTAGCGAAACTGGCAGCAGAGTCAGACAGTGAAGAGATTGGGCCAGTCCTGGAGGGCCAGTCCTGGAGGCTGAGGAAGGCTCAGATGAGGGCTCTGTATCAGAGGCAGAGATGGGGCCAGGGCAGTCTGGCAGTTGTCAGCTGCCTTCAGAGTCAGACAGCAGTGAGGCAGGGGAGCAGCTGGACCCAATCTGCACATGCGCAGAGCTGCCAAAAGAAAGAACAATTACAAAGAGTCAACGTGGGAGTAAAGCCACAGGTGGACAGTGAAGGGCCCTCCCATAGAGATTAAAAGAGGAGCAAAAGGGGAGGGGGCTTTTGCATGAAATAATTCATTCATTGCAGCAATGTGAAGATCTGTCTGTGCATCTCAGAGACTCCGTGTTGAGTCCTTTCTTGTCAGCACTGCATTTGAAAATATTTATTTGGCAGCTCTCCATGCTAGATAAGGTCTGTGCTCCTAATTAGTCCCTTGAAAGACTGTTTGCCAGGCCTTTGGCTGAATGTGAATGCAAAAAATTCACTTTCATTTAATAATAGGGGCTTTACTGGGACAACAATTCTGCTTAGTGCTTTTGGGGGAAGCCTAGGTCAGAACAGAGACATCTAAAGGATACCTTGTGCTCAACAAGGGATGAACTGGACCAAAAATGGCTTAGAGCTTCTATTAAGGCCTGTTTCATAAAGCTAAGGGCAGTAAAATGATAGATTGCTCCTTTTGACACCCTGAAATGACCTCAAGACTTGGTTGTTTTATTGCTCCAAGCCTGGGGCTCTGACCTACCAGACACTTATTGAGATGGGTTCTTGTTGATAAGGCCAATTTTGTTGAGATGGCCAATTTTATTCCTCTTGTTTTCTGGGGTTTGAATCTTTCTTTTTTGTTTTTTAATGATCTGCACTAATATAGATTTTTACATTTTATAGTTGTACTTACTAGGTCAGAATTCCCTAACATTTCTGGCTTTGCGGACCAGTGGGATGTGGGGAGAGGGGATGGTTTTGTGTGAGTGGCTGGCAAGCATGCACATGTGCAGCTCCATTTGCATGAGTGCCATTTAGACACACCTGCCACTCACTTAAATGGAGTAGGCATGCACTCACCTGCTGCTCACACAAGTGAGGATGTGCCTGTGTATGCACTCACTGGCAGTTTCTGCAGTCCAGTTGCAAACCCCACACAGTCCACAGGGATCCTTGTACTAGATTGTTATTTTATCTCATTATTGACTACTACAAAGAGTCACTTTGGTGAGATGAATAGCTTTATAAATTTGATTTAAAAAAAAACAAATAAAATAAAATAGATATAGTCCATCAGAACCAAAATACAGCTGGAAGGGCTCTTGGAGGTCTTATAATTCAACTCCCTGATCAAGAAGGAAACCTTATATTATTGTCCAATCTCTGCTTAAAACCCCCCAGTGATGAAGCACCTACAACTCCTGAAGGCCAGCTGTTCAACTGTGGCAGGCCCTCATATACTGGAACTCTGCTATCACCCCTAGTCCTTTTCTCTAGACTAGCCAAATCCAATTTCTGCAAAGATTCTTTATATGGTTTTTGTCTCCAGGCCCTTATATATTGATGCCCAAAGAAAAAAGAAACATTTATGCAACATATACATTAGGTAAAAATGGGTAGGACTTCATCTCACAGTTAAAATTAGGAGAGGTTCAAACAGTTGTGCCCATCAAATTAACTGTTTGGAACAAAGGTAAGATAAGGTGAGGTGAGGAGGTAAGGAGAGGGGAGGGGAGGGGAGATTACACACACATATATCCATACATCTACATCTACATACACCTATATCTACATCATCTACATCTACATCTATGTACAATTGGCAAAGTTAAATCCAGGATTTAACTCATTCAACAGCTGACTAACAACTTTGACATCAACACACAGTGGAAAGACAAAAGGGTTGCTGAACACTCAGATACAGGCAGTTACATTGATGACCCTACACAAAAGGTGCCAGCATTGGTCAACTCTGAAAAGGATCCGTACCCAATATAGTGTCTGCCAGGTCTCATTGTTTAAGTGGGTTCTTGTCTTTACCCCTCAGTGTGGCTGTGGTGCTCCTCAACAAAATATCCATCACATTGTGTCCATCATTAGGAATTGATGTATATGAGCAATAGTGTCCACCAGTCTGCAGT